TATTAAAAGTCTACTAGAACCAAGGTATTATATAAAGTCAGGAGGTAATTCAAAACGTATGTTCCGTGTTTCTGACATGCTTGTACTTGCTTGCTATTTGGAGCAACTGCCCCCCGCGAATCTCGCCGCTTCCTGGGCTAATGGTTTGTTCAGGCAGGTTAATTCATCATCATCGATTCAGGATGTGAAGGAATGGACAAAGAATATCTGACTTTTTAACAGACACCAGGGGCCGGCTGTTCGATGCGTAAAAAACGAGGACTTTTTTTACGTAAGCTGCTGTAACGTCTATGCCCCATGCTAGCTTCTGGCGGGATTAGAAAACTTGTGAATAAAATTATCGTTTCAGAGGGGTAGATGCAGAATTTGAGGTTCTCGCTGCTGTGAGAACGAACATGGCTATCTTCTGGGTTGCAGCGCCTTGTACTGTGGTGGAAGCTTACCGACGTTTCAGAGGTCATTCTCACACTCGCCGCCGTGTCAGCCTGAAATCTCATTAACATTTCTTTTTACTGCAATTAAAAAACCCATCAGAAGATCGCTCACTATTAAGTTACGGTTCATGCCAGTAGGAAAACAGAAAATGATAAAAGGTGCGTCTTTTGATTCTCATGCATCAAGCAGACAATGAAGAGTCAAAATAGGAAGGGTGTTGATCTCGATTTTGTGGATTAGGGCATCAGGAAGTAATAGAAGTAATGTACTAACCAGCCTTTACGCAGATCAATACAGTATGTAGGGCAACAAGAACAGATGCATTCATTTATTCGTTCTCGCTTGAGGTTTAAGCGACATTTTAGTTTTTTTAAACTTAGAATTTCGTTGATCTCAATTACTTCTGTGTTTCGACACAGTTTTTCTGTGTGAGACTAGAGGTTGCGACGTCCTGTGGACTCACAGTTAAGTTACCAATTTTTCCGAGAAACAATTTGCCTCCATCTTCAAGTTTGGCGAAAGTGTTTACTACAAACAGACGAGTCCACACGACAACCCGAAAGAACATCCTCAGGAATTATTCTCGTCGTCACCATGACGAGACCGACCCTGGGGCCGGCTCAATAATAGTCCACAATTACTACACCTCCATTTCGCCTTCGTACCTCATTCGACGCTACGCAGCATAAATAATTGATTAACCATCGATAAATAAGTTGATAATAAAGTATTCTATGATGCTGTATCAACTGTTAAGGATGTATACCATTAATTTAGATCAACTATTCTGATCGATTAATCGGAGGAGGTGTGGATCAAAGTCAGTATAGTTATAAAAGGAAGTTGGATGCCACGTTTCCTTCCATTGCATTCGAATTTCATTTCAAAGTTTTTGTTTTGGTTGACTGGTTGGATTCCTAGACATTTAACGACGCCTTTTCAACTACATATCAAAATCTGATGATTGGATGTCTGTGACAGGAGTCAGTCGTGATTTATTACAAAGTGCTAGCCCAACGTTTGATTTAGATGAACCGGGTTATTGAACCACAATAAATCCCGACCAGGCCACGGAAAATCGAAATGAACTTTGATGGTATTTTTATTTCATGAAACCAACGTCGAGGTTTGCCAAAACGTGTACTTTTTAGCAGCAGTCTGGAAGGCAAAATTATAATTATGACACAATTTAACGAGCTGTACGGTATCTGAGATCGATCTACCTTGCTTGCACACGACGACGACAAACGACGTTTGCAGTGGTGCTTCGGGAACAAGCTCAGCTGTGCTGTAGCAACCAGGAAGGCAAGAGGTGTGCAGAGATAAGCAACATGTTTCTCGCCATCACTAGCGCACAGACTACCAACAAGGGTATACAGTCTGAGGTCTGAGGTTCTCATTGTGAGTATTAATCTTCTGGTTTGTAACTACTTCCGGGGTGGTCTGAGGTCCTGTAATGTCCCGTCGAAACAAACAACTTTCGTCTCAGCCCCGTTAATCTTTGGTGCTTTGTTTCCGAGTTAAAGAAGCCGTCATCACCGGGACACGAAGTCAGGGCAGTTTTACAGAATTTTAATCTATTTCTGACCTCAAAGCATGCTGTGCTTGGAACAAAGGTGCTATTTTCCTTCTCGAGCTGTAGGAAAAGTACACAGAGTTTCAATTTTACAAAATACTGTATGTAAAATATCAAAATCTTATACTGCAAGATGCAGTTTTCATGTCTTGGTTTCAGAAGTGCGTAGATTAAACAAGCAGCACGTCAGTGCGCTACTTAATTAATTATATTAAACTTTATTTTCGGAATATGATTTGTCTAGTTCTCTGCTCGTATTCTGCCAATGGAATAAAAGAACATATAATTTACCCCAGTTGCAGAATATTTGGACGTATTGATACAAACGTGTGCATGCGAAAGGAAGAACACACACACAGAACTTTATAAGGAGAATAAAAGAGCACCAAAATCATAAGACTTGAAAAAAATACATCATTGCGATGATCCTAACATGTCCAAACATTACTAAACCTCCCCGAATGTGTGTATACCAGAGTTAACCTGTCAAGATGTGTCCATGCGAGGTCCAGGTTGTTTAAAGCTGTCGAAAAATATCATGAAGTGTCTTAATCTGTAATAACATAAAGTCACGTTTACAGACTTGCCTTAAAAAAAGACGTTCCTACCCGTCATGGTCCTATACGATGGTTGGCGACCCAACCACACCCAGTACAACAGAATAAAGCATTTTCAGAGTATCGAAAGTTTTCAAATTTTGAAAATTTTAATAACATTGATAATTTTCACAATGTTTAATAGTTGAGAATTTAAATTTTTTCAAAATGTAATAATTGTCAAAATTTTAGAATATTTCTGACTTTTTGGAATTTAACAACATAGAAATTTTTAAGATTTACATTTATTATAATTTATAACATTTGTAAAATTTAATTTTTTTTTACATTTAAAACTCAATTTCTTAAAATGTTGAGACATTTAAGGTAATAAAATGTTAGATTTTTATGGGACTTGCACAAGTTCGTTACGTATATTCTGGCAAATGCGCTAAAACACATTATCTGAGTAGGAGTAACGTCAAGTTACAGCGACGTAAGACCTAATCAAGATGTGTTAATGCCTGCATCAACAGTTTAGAAGAAATTCATTTTACATTAAACGCATCATTCTCTATTGTGTTACAAAGTCAAAAGCATTACGTTTACCTACAAGATGACGTGATTTAACTTAACTAAAATATCGCCATCGACATCCGGCCTTTCAGATTTAATATTTTCTGCGTCTTATATCATTTTCCGAGCTACTGCCATCATTAAGGGGTAGTAGCATCTACCCCTGAAACGTTGGTAAACATTAATCAGACTACACAGCGCTACAGCCTAGAAGACAGTTAACTCGACCCTCAAATCCTACTTAGTCGGTCTCTCGCTAAATATTTAACCTACTTTCAGAAATAAAGTGTTGTTCGGAAAATGTCGGTATTCTCATCCGAATTTTTTTTTACAATTAGTCCTACTTATCGGATTTAATAGCTAATGAGAAATTAGAAACGCGTGTGGTTTATGAATTGGGAGGGGTTAGAATGAAAGGAGGGCAATATCCCGGTGATTTACAGAGGTCAGTGTCCCCCCCCCTTAAGGCCGAGAATCAATAAATGTTTAGAATATTTTAACATTAAGATATATTTCTCTGAAACGAAATATTAGTTGCTACCTCGTTCCTGCTTTATTAGCAGTTGGGCTTTGCTTGGTCGGTCGATCTCTTTGCTGCTTCTGTACTCCTAATATAAAGCGATTAGCTTCGGTTTAGTCGGCTTTAGCTGATATCTTCCTCATCAGTTCTTTTTGTAGTATCTGGCTGGCCACCGTGCAAGGAACTCGTCTATGATATTCTTAAAGACTCCTGTTGCCCTGTTATTAATAGTGAACAGCCCATCGGTTTCTACGGTTTTGTTAGGTGAATTAGTTCTACGTCGCTCTTTTGGACATCGTCGGGAACCGTCCGCATGTTTCTTTCCTTACCTACTTGAACTTCATATTTTCCTCTTACGTAAGGAAACTAATGATGAAGAAAATGCGCGAATCCAGACGCCGATTTATATATTTATTTATTACCTATCTCTCTCTATCTATCACTTAACCTATTGCCAAGTTATTGCGTGCGTGCGTATTGTTCCATTTTATGAAACCTTAAGGTAACGTTACTGTTTAGAAGAGCTAGCAACCATTCGTTCAGTCCTGAGGCAAATCAATCCAATCCTTCAAAAACAAATTTTTTTTATATATTATTCTTAAGGTACCAGAAGTGACCTCATCTTTCCAGAGTTTTAATAATTTTTATATATTATTCTTAAGGTACTAGAAGTGACCTCATCTTTCCAGAGTTTTCTGTTATAATTATATACGCATTTCTCGTTTTCGTCATGCGTGCTACGTTCTTTCCCATCTTCGTAATCTTGGCTGAAATCCATTACGCAAATCGGAAAAGGAGTATATCGATCTCTGGAATGTGTTAACACGAAATTGGATGTTCGTAAACCGAGAATTTAGTAACGTACTTTTGAGCAAATCATTTAGGCCTACAGTTTGTATATTTCTCTGTTACGTATTGGGAATTGTTCGCGTAACGTAAGAGCTCTTTATTACACGTTCGCCACAATTTTATATTTGACCTTTGTGAATAGCAGATTTGTCTGGAAACAGCGCCCTTCGCGTGGCCGGGTGTCTAGTGTAGTCTGGTATAAATTCACCGACGTTTCAGTAGTAGTAGTAGCAGTAAATCCCTGAAGCATCGGTCGCTACACGGCTCAACATCCTAAAAGATGGTCCATCTTTATAATTGTCGCTGTGAGAACTTGAAATCTAACAAAAGACTTCGTTCATTGGTTCGTCCGCGTGACAAATTTCTTAGTCTCTGAAAATTCCGTAATAATTTTAAAAAGAAGACCAACGTTCACATGAATTCTCCGGTGAGGATAGAAATCTGTTTCGGGAGGATAATACAATATTAAAATGAAACTCAAGCAGAGGTAATGAATTAATTTGGCGCAGGATATGCCCCAATGGCAAGATTTTGAGAACACGATAATAATCCATTATTTGATTGCCATCGAAATATACCAGCTGAGCGACTATTGAGATTACTCAAGCGCTTTGCGCCATGGATTTTGTTAACAGTTTTAATCCATCTGCAACATCCTTTTGATTTTACAAAAGAAATCAGTTGTTTTCATCCGGAATGCCTGACAAAATGGATATTTGTATTCCTTGTTGTTCATGTTTTCCTGGTTTCATGCTGAGTTTTAGGGCGAAATTGGCGTGCCAATGATAGTAATATTTTGATGTTTAGTGGAAAGTTTCTTCCCTGGAAATATTCCGAATGAATGAATATACAATGTAATCGATAACAGGCTCTATATACATGCAACTAGGTTGTCGGGTGGGGCGGTGCGGGCAGCAGACTTGCCATAGTCGTACAGAATGCGACTCCCCCTAATAGGCGTACAGGATCGAGTAGTTGGTAACTAGTTACAGCGTTAGCGGAACACTACGTTAAACCTCCTTTCAGTTGTTGGTCTCTTGGTTAACGCGGCGCTGGCCGGTTGTCGGGTGATTTGGTGGTCTGGTTTGGGGGAATCTGTATTAACGGGAAGAAGCAATCCTGTTTTATTTATAGTCCAGCCCCGTGTGAAGCATCGTGTTTTGGCTCTCACGTCGTGTTGCCGCTGCGTTTTGATTTAAGACGCTGGCGTCGCCAAAACATAGGGAATATTAACACGGCATGTTAATGAAGTTGTTTATTTGACCTGGATTTTCCAGAATAATTTATTTAATTTCTATTTATTTGCTGATGAAGACAGACCTTGGAATGTGCAAATAGTTATGGCAACGGAAACTCTCACTTATATAGAAGGAAAATCGAAATGAAAAGTTTACGCGGTTTCCTTTGCGTTGTCTTTATCCGCAGGTAATTCTTAAATTTAATAATAATTCTACTGAAGAACGTATTTTCTTGTAACTGAAACTGTACTCTTTTTTAGCAATGAAGTTAGTGAGTGAATGTGTGTGCATTTATTTGTATACTCATTTGATTCTCGTACTTATTTAATTTATTCAACCAGCTTGTGAATTCACCGATAAAACACACTTTTGTTATTCTAAATTTGTGAAGTATTGTTAGTTAAAAATAGCGATTTACTATATATATATATATATACTTCCTGGTCACCTCACTACACAATCCGTTTCCGCCATTTTGTTTTGTACTGTAAGCAAGTATGCAGAATCCCATCTACTTCGCATTGTCTCCACTCTTTTGCCAGGAGCTCAGTAAGCGTTCAGAGGTATCTCGATTAGCCACGCGAAGTACTTCTCATGGATGCACGTCAGACACGTAATTTTTTCTCACGTCTCGTGTTATGGATTAAAAATAAACGTCCATATTTCAGAATTAGTCTACAGGCGTATTTGGAATCAGAATACTAATTAATCTTTGCTAGATACATCATGAAACCCCCGTACATTCTAGGAGAACCCGACGACTAGATTCACAGATTTTTAAATAGCCTTTTATTACATTTGAGTTGATATGTTTCTTATACCAGTTGTTTTCTTGATCTAATTATTTTTGTTGTCTGAAAGAAACAGATCTATCTACAACAAATTAAGTGAAATAACTTTTCGATTCTTAAGGGTGCTTTCTTGCATAGTTCCGCTGCCTAAATAAGAGATCAAGTGCTCTAGTGTACAAGTACGTTCCTTATAATTTGGTGTTCCTGACTCAACCTGGTATTCGTCAATTGCAGATATAAATCTATTGATCAAAAGCTAATCCCATTGCAAATTCACACTGCATACCAACATAATTAATTACGGACTTAATAAAATAAACGAATCCTAATCTCGGATAGTGCTTTTATGGAGTTTACAGATCGTTTCTTACTCTCCACCGAGCTAAAATGTTATCATAACCTCCCATGGTCAGTGTCTATTAGACTAACGGTATATTTTTAAAGGCACGCAAAAATTCAAGTCACATTCTTGCATATTTTCTTGTACTTCTCTCGTTTTTCTGATTTTGACTGATGATTTTTCTTTTCGAAATTTCAACTTCCCTTTGTACATACACGTAGTAAAATCTTCTCTCCAAACAAAATACTACTACGGCTAACAAAAAAAAATTGGGCCTGTACGCGATAGGCTACTTTGATTGTGATTTGCTTCGAAACAGTTCGGCTTCTGTTTGAAAAGCCCTCGCCTCTTAGTGGATTTTTACAGACTGTTTCCTCAGAACCTGACAGTGACTGAGCTCGTTAAGATATTTCCTACCTTTCATGGAGCTGAATATTGTTTATCGCGTTCAAAAGAACCTCCCACTGGTCCGTATCGTGCGCCAGATTAATCCAGTACACATTCTCGTGTTTCTTTAAGATACATTTTAGTATTGTCCTCCAAAGTCGTTTCAACATTATTATTTTCGAAGTTGCTGGACTATGCCCGTTAGGCGTAGCCATAGTAACCATCGAAGCAAGTCCAACACGGAACGTAAAATTACTTAAGTAACAACATCGATGATGATGATGATGATGATGATGAAAGACCTAATTTTATATCGATATGACACTAGCGTGGGACTTCGTGACACAAACTGTATCGAGCTGTTTACGTTCCGTGTTGGACTTGCTTCGATGGTTACTATGGCTACGCCTAACGGGCATAGTCCAGCAACTTCGAAAATAATAATGTTGAAACGACTTTGGAGGACAATACTAAAATGTATCTTAAAGAAACACGAGAATGTGTACTGGATTAATCTGGCGCACGATACGGACCAGTGGGAGGTTCTTTTGAACGCGATAAACAATATTCAGCTCCATGAAAGGTAGGAAATATCTTAACGAGCTCAGTCACTGTCAGGTTCTGAGGAAACAGTCTGTAAAAATCTACTAAGAGGCGAGGGCTTTTCAAACAGAAGCCGAACTGTTTCGAAGCAAATCACAATCAAAGTAGCCTATCGCTTACAGGCCCAATTTTTTTTTGTGTTTGCCGTAGTAGTATTTTGTTTGGAGAGAAGTACAGGCCCAATTTTTTTTTGTTAGCCGTAGTAGTATTTTGTTTGGAGAGAAGATTTTACTACGTGTATGTACAAAGGGAAGTTGAAATTTCGAAAAGAAAAATCATCAGTCAAAATCAGAAAAACGAGAGAAGTACAAGAAAATATGCAAGAATGTGACTTGAATTTTCGTGTGCCAAATGTCCCTTTAAAAATATAGACCTAACTGTAACAAGTATATCTGAAGCTAGTCCAACATAAGATAATTTACAATCTTCTGGCTATCGCCCTGATGATGGAGGCAGCAGGGACCTCTGAGACGCTGGTAAACGTCTACCAGGCTAGAATGCGCTAGGAACTAGAATACAGCATTCTTCGTACTCGCTGCCATGAGAAACCCAAGTTACTTAACCATATTCAAGTTATGAGCGAACACAAGAACACAAGTTCGGGCTAGTAAAAGCTAAAATATTCCGTAGTATCTTAAATTTAGGCAGAATCCGCATTCAAGTTTATGACTTTTCATATTCATTACTTCTGTTAGATCACCACTCATCAGACTGATAGGTTGGTCGAAATCGAACCATGCGTTTTCACATTCGGTTGTCTCACATTCCAGATGCTCGCTGTTCTATTTGAAGATGCAGACAATAATTGTGAACCTCTGTGCGTGTTTGTTACGTTATATAAACAAAATAAACCAAAAACTATTGTATTCATGTCTTTCTGCAGACAGCAGTCTTATTTTGCTGTCTGCAGTAGAGTTCGTCCATTTTTATGTTCTTAGTTTTCCGAGCAGACCAGAAACCAGAACCAACAAATTATACCTCTAGTATTCTCCTACTTGCCTGGTGTATTCGCGTATGATTTTGCCACACCGCACTTCTATGAGATAACATGGCCGGAGAGTGTGTAGTGGGGAAGGATATCGTCGCCATTTTGATTACCGTTTTTCCAACTGGCGAAGAGACGTCATTAATCAGAAGATGATTTTTTCTACATTGCCTATGCCTGCATTAGAAAGTAAATCAACTAAATAAATCCTACCTTTTACGTATTGTTTTGTTAAGATGGAAGGAATTAGATTACGTTTAAGTCTACATTTAGAAATCAATGTTGGCTGCATTCATTCCCTTATCATTGTGCTCATTTTTAACTGAGCTTGCAATTCGTTCCTGAGACATTTGTCATATTTTTCTATTTGTGATGTCTATATTGACATAACCGTATAATCAATGTGTTTATTCGTTTGTTTACAAATTGACCAAATTTGGATATCAGTCGATTACGCAGACCGTTTGTTTACAAATGGACAAAATTTGGATATCAGTCGATTACGCAGACACCAAGGAAAGCACAGAAATATGAGCTTTTTGAGGGTCTCACGGCGATGAAAATGATGATGACCGTCATCTGGGGTCTTAAACTGTGTCGTCTGGTAGAAGTTTACCGACGATTTAGAGGTGCTTGCTGCCTCATCATCAAATCGATCGCCTCTGAAACGTCGACAAAATTATACCACACTTGCCTCTGAAACGTCGGCAAAATTGTACCACACTACACGACTCAGTATTTCAAAAGACAGTTAGTCGTCTTCATACTCGGCGTCCTGAGAACCTGAAATCTTAGCCTTCCTTGTCTTTATAGAACGAAACTACCAGAAATGTGTCCGATCCGCTGAAACGTCTCCTGTTCTAGGGCGATGAAACCCAAACATTTTCACTGAGAATACCACTGAAAGCATTCAATATCTACGCATTCTTTGCGAACTTCGTAATCCAATTTTATTTCTATAATTTAATAATTAGGCTGTTGAATGCAATTTGCCATAGCAACTAATTTTGATATTTTATCGATCTCCAATGACAAACGCGCTGCAGTGGAACCGCCCTGCTACGCTGCGTTTCTGAGCAGTTATATTGTGGTCTTCTGGTGCATGACGCCATGCAGTTTTTGTAGGTACTTACGAACATTTTGGATAGACGTATCACCTCCCTCTTCAGGGTTGCAGTGACTTAACATTGATTAAAATCGATATGTTTCGTGCAGTGTGAACCTTAAATCTCAGACACGTCTACGAAATTGGCTACAAAATTGGAAAGAATCGCTGTCTGTCATTTGGCCGACGACACTGATCATCAGGTGTTCAGTCACAACTTTGCGTTTCAACGTAATGGGAGATGAAAATATGAACGGAGCATTAACACGCGAGCCCCAGTAATCTAAAGGTCTTGGGTACCTACTCACCAATTCTGTTATCCCCATATAAAGTTGTTCTGTTTTGCTGACGAACTGTGCCCAACGATCAGTAATTTACATAATAATACGTATATATACCATTTGGCAGCGTCACAATAATTATTCCCAATAAGTAGATTTCGTTTATCGAAAGTTCGTACTTGATATTTTAATAATGTATTGGATGAAATGAATTCATGTCTTTCGTCGTTCCGTACAAGGATGCTACATCGCCACTGGAAAGCAGCAGCACCCTCCATCTCGAGTGTAGGTTGAGTCTTCAGTTCCACGCTTCATACTAGGAAACCAGGATGCAAATGGTGGTATATGACACGCAGCGCCGCTAACCTTATCCTAATTTTCCTTGGACTTCATAATCTCCTACTGTCCACATGGTTCGATAGTAATGACTCGCCCTCCGTCTCCACCTCACTGTTGCCACAACACACATTCTGGTCCATTCGGCGGATGCTGTGTGACACGTGCTGTCATCATATTGCTATTACGTAAGGGTTACGGGGACGAGACGAGAACACGCCTTTTCCCATTGGCTCGCCTGTTGCCCTCCCGAAACTGCGCGACCCCAGGATCGCAGAATGGACGAAGAGATTGCAGCTAGTAAATTCAATAGAGCATCCCGGGGAGGCGTGTCTTTAAGGTTTGAATGAAAATGGCTGTCGTCTGGGTTTTATTACCTTGTAGTCTGGCAGGAGAACCTCAAATACAACTGTCTTCAAAGTAATACAGAATTTTGTTGATTGTTGCATTATCTTACAGTTATAAGCGTATTGTTAACAGCAGGTAGGCCTGTAGGCGCAGAGCCTACATTATTTTAACTTGCGTTTCGTCAAATCTATTCAGAGCGATGGTTAAAGCCATAGGTTAGTTAAATCTTACACTTTTTCGCCATTTTGTAAAAGTGAATAATTACGGTCGCTGACATTAATCGGTGCAGACCTAAAAGTTTGTTTACAAAATATAATTAATGCGTTATTTTTATATAATTGTTTAACATTTTATACGCAAGATATAATTAATGCATTTTGGATGTCGTGGTAAATGAGCCGGGATAGCTCAGTCAGTAGAGTGACTAGCTACGGGCTGGACGACCGGGGTTCGATCCCCGACGGGGGCAGAGGATTTTTCCTCTAGCCTCTGCGTCCAGACCGGCTCTGGGGCCCACCCAGCCTACTCTACAATGGGTACCGGGGTCCGTTCCCGGGGGTAAAGCCGACCGGGGCGTGATGCTGACCACTCACCCCATCTAGTGCCGAGGTCAAGGAAGAGAGGAGCTATACCTCCTCTCACCCCAAGCGCCTACATGGCGTATAGTGGGACAAACTTTACTTTCCTTTAGGATGTCGTGGTAAGGTTTGTAATTTGGAAAGAGGATGTCTATGTAGTCCATTTTCTTACTATCTTTTGTTCTTCATCTTATGCTGTGCTTTTATGGCAGAAATAAACGTTAAAATGGCGAACACAGGACGACGTTTCCGTGTTTAGCTGGGACGTGAAACATTTCTCACTATAACTGAAGAACGTAGATTTAAACTCACGAAATATTACTGGAATGATCAGACCAAGGAGAATGAGATGGGCGGCGTATGTAACACGCATGGAACCGGTGATCAAATCCGTACAAGACTGAGGTCAGGAAACTTGAATGGAAGATACCACTTGGAAGACTTGGACGTAGATGGCAAGGATATTGTAAATTGGTCTCAGAGAAGTGCGGGGAAAAGTTGTAGCGGACTGAGAGAATTTGGTTTTAGAGAGGGACACGCACTGGGCTTGTATGAATACTAATAATGCATAAAATGAGAGAAATTTCTTGACTAAATGAGCGACTGTTAGCTTCCCATGAAGGCCTCTGTTCCATGGAGGTAGTTAAGGGCAGGTCTACGTAATTACTCCATTCGATTTTTAAAAGTTGTAGGACTACGTCTTTATAAGGTAGTATATTTGCGTCATATTGTGAATTAGGTTAATATTTTAATGTTTGCCGTCAAATCACAATTTTAATAAGATAATAAAATATAAAATATTTAAAATATCATTTCACGTTCCGCATCGAATGATCGATTTACAAATTGGAACGTCTCTTACGACATGTTTCGGTTATATTTAACCGTCCTCAGGTATAATTAGAT